CATTCTCAATGTTTTGTTTATTTATTTTATGGCACAAGCCCCATTCAAATTATTATGCTGCTCTTCCAAGGATTTCAGTTCAAAAACATATTTTTTAAAGAACTTAAGAAAAGAAAAGAAAAATCTAGGCAAAAAGGAAAATACTGAAAACCCAGAAGTGAATGAGTTAACATTTTGTTGTTATTGTTGTAGTCAGCATTACACCAATGCCAGAATTTTAAGGGAAAGACTGAAAAGAGCCAATTTTTTTTTTTATCTTTTTAAAAAAAAATCAGGCCTATCTGTCAGAGTGTTGTCCAGGCTGGGAGAACAGCACCGGCAGGAACCTCAAATTCCTGACCAAACCCTCTTCCACACAATGCCTCCTGAATGAAAGGAACCCAGGCCTGGCAGAGATAGCCTGCTGTCAGGAACCAGCCCTGACGTTTGTGGACAGACAGGGCTGGCCTTGCAGGATGTCAGAGCAACAAACTGCTGTTCGAGATACTGGATTTTCACACACTCTCAGCCTGGATGTTTTGCTCTTCAGGTAATTAAACAAGGAAGCAGGGCTGATGTGTACGAGTCTGACCCCGGTGCTGTGGCTCCATGGTTCTGCATATCAACTTCCGCAAGAACAGCCTGGAGCATCAACAGAATCTTCTACTCTCTCTCTTTCTTGCCCCCACCCTGCAATGCCAAGCTCTAAAACAAGTTCTCTCTGGTAATGTGTGCTGCTGTCTTCTTTTTTTCTAATTAAGGAAGACTAAATTACTTGTACAGTCCCACCAGCCTTGCTGCGTCCTTAAAAAAAAAAAAAAAAAAGGAAAGAAATGGTTACATTCCGATTGATATCCCCATGCCTTTTATACATAATTGTAACAACAGCAGTAGGTGGATGATATGCTAAATTATGTGCCCAAAGGGGGAGGGAAGGAACCCTATAGGTATATACTTTTATTGGCTCATCATCCTAAATAAAATTACTTTTGAAAAGTGAGTGTTTTATGATTTGCCCAACCATTGTTCAATATTTTAAAAATGAAGTTATTGTAATTTAATCATCATTACTGGAGATGTTTTAGTTTGAGAACATGTGATATATCATATAGAGCTGTAAACTAGAAAAATGGCTCCATATTTTCACTCTTTCCTCCCCAAAGAATTTAAAATCTGGAGTTATTAGCTAATAATTTCTAAATTGCTTGCTGTAGTCAACAGAGAGATTCCTTTGTGACTGAACTCATTTCTATGATTTTAAAATAATGTTTACACAAAATGATTTTAAAAGATGCATAACATATTCCTGCTTCTTTTGAAAATCCATAGACTAGAATATTGGCTGAAAGACAGAGACCAAAAGAGAGGAATACAAAAACATGCCTGCTTGTCTGTGTTGAACACAAAGAACATTAAATGAAAACAACTGGCATGCTGCCAAATTCCTATAGAGGCAAAGAGATTCAAATAAATTGATTTCACGCATCACACTGACCTGGGATCAGTGAGCAGTGGTACAATACACTCAGAGCTCCATGTGGGGCAAGCCCATTAATGTTATCAGAGCCCTAGTATATTACCAGGAGAGAAAGAAAAACAAAACAAAACAAAACCCCTCTGCAAACTCAGAAAATCTTTTTGAAAAAATAACTTGAAATCACTTTGTTTCAATTATTAATAAAGATATAAATTTGTGAAGGCAAACAGTCTGCACCTTCGAGATTACTGAAAATATATTTCTTTCAAATTAGAATTTCTATGAAAAGCCATATTTATATTACACACACTCACATATACAGTAAATGCACTCAGACATACATGCTGAACTTATGCTATATATTTTTATATACACACATTCTCTACACTTTCTACTTTTGACCATCGTTGCCCTCAAAATTAAATTCTTCTCTTTGAGTTTCCTCTTTTCCCTTCCTCCCTCCAATGTTTTATAAAGATTATAGGCTATTTTCTTTGTACTTCAAAAGCTGGATTCCTGCCCAGTACTTTCCTATTGGCTCAGAAAGTAAGCTGAACAGAATGGTCACCACTTACAACTGTTCTATCAACTTTACCTATAGAAAAAATGTATTTTTGGAAGTCATGAGCAGTGATTTTCCTGTACACACACACACACACACACACACTCAAAAATGACCCATTAGCAATCTGACTTTCTTATGATGAGTGAAATAACCCATGTGTGCTCGTCATCCATCTTTGTTTTTCATTAAGATCTCCTACACTGCAATCAAGAATAATGCCAACAAGCCACAGGTGTGCACCACATGAACAGATGAAAATCTGATTGTAAGGGGTGTGATGATGGTTCTCTATCTATAATACATTCATCCCAAGGTACTCTTATACATCTGTTATATGTTAAAGGCTTTTTATTTAAATTGTAGCCTTAGAGAGGTTTATGCAGGCAAGCAACTACTACTTTAAAGGGCAAAATAAATAAATACATACATAAATAAAAGACAGTAAAGTAGCAAAACCAAGGGTGAGGATGCATGCTTATCACAAATGAAAGGAGTTTAGTGTAATAAGAAGAATAAAAAAGGAATGGAAGCCATTTAGGAGTCAATTTAACTTGACTCCACCATCTTTTTATTTTGCCTTTATTAGATATTGGTACCAAGCAATAAGTGAAATATTTTGCTTTATAATGTTGACATTATTACCAAGGTTATTGCAGACAGACCAGCAGGGATTGGTCCCTGACCCATCTCTATTTTTCATGAGCAACCAGATGAAATCTATACCCTTCAACATCCATCTGAAAAGGCAATGTCTTCCAACCTTAATGGGGATTAAATACATTTGTGAAACTGGGATGAAGGTGGCTAGATACATTGCAATTATGGGGCAAAGTTATTTAGAGCAAGATGATATAAGGTCATTATTAGATTTCAGAAGACATATGATTCCATTCTCGGCCAACTTCTTAACTTGTTCAGCAACATTTAAACCCAGAACTTACTGGAAGTTTAAGGTCACTGGCCAAAATTTTCAAATTAAGGTGCTTACAGTTAGGCACATACATGTGCATTTAGGCACCTTGCTAAGTGGCCTGACTTTCAGCAGTTGATGAGCATCCCAGCTCTTACAGAGATCTAACAATGCTAACAATCACCAATCAATGTTTCTCTTATCTAAGTAGCTACAGAGCAGTTTATCCATGAAAGACTTTAGTATTCACACATTAAGACCTTGTCTATATTAGAAAGTTGTATAGTTAAAGCAGTACAACACCCCTAGAGTAGATGCAGTTATATCCAGTTGTATATGTATAGAGGTATTGTATACCAGATTAGCTATTACTGTATGGAAAGGGGAATAAGCTACACTGGTATAAAATGACTTTATATTGACATAAATGCATACACACTAGGAGTTGTACCGGCGGCTTGACTTGACCCGTAGCTAAGGAGGTTAATTTCACATCCTCCCCATCCAATCAGACCACTTCATTGGCATAAAGCAAGATCATTCAGGCTTTATGAGGATGAAGTAAATTTCAGCCACACCACTATGCAGCAACAACAGGAATGAAGAACATTAGAAGACATGCATTCTGCCTTGCAGTACATTTCCATTTCTCCTACATGTGCTGTATTAGCAATAAACCACAATAAACTATCCATTAGACTGCTACTGTGGTATACTTCAGGCATGAAATGCCTTAATTTTACATATAATTTGTTTTTAAAAATCCTCTATAAAAACAATATTGGAGGAAGATATATGCAAAGTACTGTTCCACTATGAAAAACAGTCCATAACAGAAAGATAAGAGAGCAAATAGTGGGGAAAACCTTTTCACTACTAATTTAGCAATAAAAACATATTATATGGGAGGAGAAACCCTGGTAGAGGGGAATTAATTCTTCCTCCAAAGCCAGCTCTGGGGATCAAGCGGCTTGCTTGCTTAGGACTGACCTAGGAATTAGAATTTAGTTTAGAATCCCAATTCTGTTTTTTAAATTATTTTAAAAGGTGCATTTATCCAAGTGTACAAAGCCCACACCAACTCTCCACACTATCTAGGGGTTTAAAGTGGTGATGAAGGCCTTCTGTTGCCCCTCTGAACGGGGATGAATTTCACAAAGGATTACAGCTGTGGTAATGGGGTAGAAGAGAGCTGAGATGCAAAGTGACATAATAGGATTTAGCTGCATTTAAAGTGTCTAAGACTTGAAACCAATGAGAGTTGACTGTAGGATTTGGGCCTATGCTTGTTGTATACTATACTTTTTACGCCATCTGCTTGAACAAAGAAAGGCTCCCATTCTGAAAAGCTTACCTGTTTACCCAGAATTATTTAAAATCCATTTAATAAATATTCTGTTATTCTGCTCTCTAGACAACTGTTTCAGAAAATACCATTTCTTACTTACAATAAACACTGGAATTGTGATATAGCTTTCACACTTTAACTCCAAGTTTTGTTTTACACATATCAGATTTTTTAAGTACACCAAGGAGTACTCCATGACAGAAACAGAAAAATATCCAGACTTGATATCTTCTTATTCAAATCTATCATGGATTCCCTCTGTAATGTATTTGCCTAATATCCTGTCTACACCATAAATACATCCATGTCCGCAAACCTGGTTACAGTTGCCACATGCCCTGTTTTCAAACATTGTTCCAATTTGTAATGCTGATGGGACCTTAACCATGCTTCACAACCTGGCTAAAGCCATGTTTCTAACCAGATTAGGGGATACCCATATTGTATAATTGTTTTCCAGATGTGGCTGAATTTGTAGAATGGACAGGGCATTAGGAAAGTGCAATGCTGACTTATTTTTCCATTTGTCCTGGATTCTTCTCCAATGATATTAAAACAAAGTCACGAATATGAAACATGAAATTTGATGAAGGCTTTTTGGAGGCTGATATGGGGCTGCGAGGGGAAATTTCTTTTTTTAAATTACAGTTTACAAGGCAAGGTACGGTAATTAAAAATAGGTATGTAAATTATAAAAATCAAATATTTATCTTTTCCTTACCTTGACAAAATTCAAAGTTCCCTTTTTTCCGGCAGTCACCTATCACTAAACTCAGTGCTCTCCAAGTGTTTCTTTTGACAGATATCATTCTCCACCAATCGCTCTGCTAATTTCCTCTCTCCTTTTCTGACTGGGACAGATATTATGTTCACCAGCCCAGAGATCAATCTTTTCTATTGACAACAACAAATGAAAAAAAAGAAGCACATATCACAGCCAGTTTGAAGCACCACACCCCTTTATTTGCATAACAGCAGGACTTTTTTTTAAAAGGAACAGAGATAAATGCTGTCATTCTAAAGCAATCATTACCCACATTTTCTCAGAAAAATAAATGTTATTATTTGTAGAAAAGCTGTTTTATAAGTTAACACTTTACAACAGTCCATGCTATAGATAGTAATCAAACAAAGGATGAATGCAGTCTACATGTCAGCATCTCATCCCTAACTCATTTCTCAAAAAGGTGTTTCTAATATATTTCATATAAAATAATAATATATACTTTACCTGGTCCAACAGACACACTACAGAATCACCTCTTAAACTAATGTGTTATGTGTTATGACCTTTACATTACACACAACACTGTTGTCTCTTCTTATGAGTAAACAAATTCCAAATAATGGGAGATCAAAAGTCATGCTCCTCCCACCTCTGAAAAACCACCCCAACTGCCTCAAAACTGGGCTACTAAAATACTTCATCATTAATATTCATCTATATTATAACAGGAAGATCTAGCATTGCTATAGTTAAGATTGTCAGCTTTTCCAAGACAGTGCTATGTTTTACAGGCCTTTCTAATTATGGTAGGACAGAAAGATTTTCAGAGTTAGGCACACACAATTACATGCATGCTTCAATCTGCATCTATGGATCAGGTATCTGAGGACATAAATTAGGCATGCATACAGGTCTGGGCACAACTACATGCAGATAATTGAAAATCTGGCCCAGCATTTCTTCTGGCCTGGATCTTATTGCACAAAATTTGTACATGGGCCCATTTTCAAATGATCAATTCATTTTTACATCAGAAACCATAACCACTTATATATATATATTTTAATTCCTTACATTTTAAAGTTAAGATTTACAGAATGAAAAAGTTTACTATTTAAAGTACTTTCTTGAGTTTACACTCAATTTTTGTCTCAGTCCTGCAGCCAAACTTCTATTGATTTCAATGAAAATTACAATGAATGTCAGGACGGTAGTAGTGGACCCAAATTTTGTCAACTGTTAAGCTTTAGATGTAGCATTTTGACATTGGCATTTTGAAAATGACTACTGAAGTATGGCTAGGGTATTCAGCTTGCATGCAGTAATTACTTCTATAAAAAGATGTTTATTGCTATTTACCAAACTCTGCATTTGTTACCATATTTACCTAAGAGGCAATAAAAGTTCCCTTTTTATCTGTCCTCTAACATTAATTGTATGCTTTTTTCAAATGATCCTTGATATAAAACAACTTACATTTCCATGAGTGTATACAATATTATTGTGAGGTGTTTTTAAATGAACACTTAGGGCCTGATTCTGACACTCTTGCTCAGGGGTTCTCAAACTGGAGGTCAGGACCCCTCAGGGGGTCGTGAGGTCATTATGTGGGGGATCACAAAGTCATTACGAGCCAAACCCCACCCCCAAACCCCGCTTGCCTCCAGCATTTATAATATGTGTTAAATATATTAAAAAGTGTTTTTAATTTATTAGGGGGGGTCACACTCAGAGGCTTGCTATGTGAAAGGGATCACCAGTAAAAAAGTTTGAGACCCACTGCTCTTGCTCATACTGAGGAGTATTTTACTGAGCAAGAGGTCCTATTGATTTCACTGAGATTGTTCAAGAAATAAGGTTCTACTCAGCATAAGGATAGCAAAATCTGGCCTGTAGTAAGGGAAACATAAAAACTTACTCTGAATAACATTATTGCCTAGCCGAACTCCAGGATAACAACTTGAAGTGTTATCTTTAATCCAAGTTATAGTGCTAGTGTCTAGGTATTTCAGTAAATAGAGTATGGAACATACTTTACAGAGAGACTTTTGTAATTACCAAGGCCAGTGGTTCCCAAACTTGTTCCGCCGCTTGTGCAGGGAAAGCCCGTGGCGGGCCGGGCCGGTTTGTCTACCTGCGTCTGCAGGTTCGGCCAATCGCGGCTCCCAGTGGCCGCAGTTCGCTGCTCCAGGCCAATGGGAGCTGCTGGAAGCGGCGCAGGCCGAGGGACGTACTGGCCGCTGCTTCCAGCAGCTTCCATTGGCCTGGAGCAGCGAACTGCGGCCACTGGGAGCCGCGATTGGCCGAACCTGCAGACGCAGCAGGTAAACAAACCGGCCCGGCCCGCCACGGGCTTTCCCTGCACAAGCGGCGGAACAAGTTTGGGAACCACTGACCTAGGCACACTACAACTGTTTAGGAAGGTGTTTCTGCATCCATTACCTAAATTTGGACTTATGGCAGACTTGAAGCATTAGTCTCATATTTTGTATTTAACAATATTACAATTAATCTTTTAACAGGATGTATCCATCTTTTGTTAATCTACTAATCTTGCCACAATAAACAGGTTCAAATATGTTCATTTAGGCAACATATAACATTTTATTTGAATCTACTGAATAGTGTATTCCATTTCATGAAGTAGGGGGGGAAAAAAGGTTTTTTAAAAAACTCTTGCTGCACAAGACAATGTATTTTGAGTATCTTCCTTTTAAAAATCATATCCTCTCATCCTATCTTTTTAAAATATGTCTTATCTTCCTACTAGTTCTCTGTTCCATCCCCTTGCAACCCTTTGTATGTGCTACACTTTCCAAAGTGATAATAGTATTCTGATAAATCTATGGTATGGTTATATATGTTGTCACTTTTTACCTCCTGATTTATAAATTCTTGTTACTAGAATGTACATGCAAAGTGTTCTGAAAGCTAAATTCCACTCAAAGCAGAATGCCTCAAACAATTTGTAGTCCTACAAGACTGTTATTAAAAAAGCTCAACATGTTGTATTACCATGGAAATTGTGGAAAACATACATTCCCAAACAAATATTACTTTTTCTCAATGGTATGAAGTAATGAAAACCACATGTGTAAATCTGCGATCCGTGCAGTAGTTCAAGCTGCAGCTAATACAAAATACAGAGAGTGAACTCTGCCATATAAAGGATTCTTGTTACAGAAATATAATGTGAAAACCAGATGCAGACAGAAAACCTTAATCACAGATGGGAATGTAATCACTGGCATACAGAATACTTTTTTGATCAATGTTAACCATATGCGAAATGTATTTATTTTCTAAGGAATGCAATAACTTGAGAGAGCCTTCTATTTGAATTCGGTTAACCTCATATTCACAATGCTTTTATCTTACTCCCTTCTCCCCTCAATATATAAGCTGAGCCAAAGTTTTAAGAGGAAGAGTCATTGGCCCTGGCAAATCATTCTTGTATCAGTTTATCTTTCAAAAATGTAATAGGATATAAAGACTACACATATCAGAATCAACCTCAAAAGAAATCAAATGCAGTTACCCATTACTGTATTTCTCAGTTATTGCCAGAAATCCCTTCATCACCTAAGCACACTTCTCTAGAGTATTATATCACCATTTGGTTAAATTTTTCCTTTAGCATAATTTGTAGTTCTTCAGCAATGCAGCAATAAAACCTTTTTTTTTAATCAACTTGGTTTTCAAATCAAAGCTGAACTCCCTATTCTGATGAATCTCCTTCCCTCTTTATGAAAAGTAAATGGTTGCAAAAAAAAAAAGTGTTGTGACATCAAATTAAAACATAAGTTTCTGCTTGAAGCACGTGGCCTTTATTCTAACTATAGGAAAGCATGATATAATGGTGAGGTGCTGAGCACCCCCAACTCTTACTGATCTCAGTGGAGTCAGTGGGAGCTAAAAGACACTCGGCATTTAGCACGATCTGCCTATATACTACTGAAGTTGTTAATTTACAGCGTGTCCATTATGTGGCCCAAAACTCAGATGATATCCTATCCTATAACTGCTGGATGAGGGTAAAGTTGCCAACCTGTTGGTTTTTATTGCTAGTGAACTAAAAAAACAATTTCTGTTCAACTATCAAAGAAGATGCAAATACTACAATTTTGTGCACTTTTTATTCAAAAATATGTAACTATATTTTAAATTAGGTTCACCCCTCATGCTTCTAACATGTTGCCAGTACAACCTAGTATTACAAAGGTTTAGCACCCGCAAGCTGTATCATGGAATGTCAATCCTATATATAGTTTGTCATCTGGTACAGGTTAGTTTCATTTTTCTAGATAGTAATTACAATTGGTTATTAAAATGGACTGCAAACTAAAGACCAATGTAAGAATGGATTGCAAGTTTTAAAATATTTTAGAAACGGCTTCAAGAAAATAAAAAAGAAGAAAAAGGTCAATGAGTTCTATCACCCTTGGCTTAGTGCTAACTCCCATTAGCCTTAGCCTAGGTTAGACATGTACATCAAGGGGAGGACAGACACCTAAGGTATTCTGTCACAGGACTCACAGATCCTACCATGGTTTAACCTAAGGTGCCCCACAAAACATTTCCACTCAAGTTCTTCAAAGACATTTCATGTAATGTTCATATCCCCTATGTGAAGCTTAAACTAAGCTGTTTTCTATGCTCATATGTAACAGGCTTTTTTTTTATTAGAATACTTTTTACTCTGTCAGTTTTATGTACTCTTCAGGTAAAAGGGGCACTTAAAAAAAAAATCTTGCCTATTTTGACATTTTGTTTTGGAGGAAATGCTAGTCAAAACCTTTTTTCCCCGACAATGTGCAGCATTCTACTTCCAAAGCAAAAGTGATGTGTATTTTAACATGGTATACTTGACTTACTTCAGAACAATTATGCTTAAATTATTAACAGTCCCTCTCAGACTTTGACCAGATATATATTTTATTTTGCACAATTTATATAGTAAAGGATGCAGGATATATTTAAATAGGAAAATACAGCCTCCCAGCTGTAAAACAGTTCCACGTAATAAAACACAGAGCGAACCATGAAAGCTCTTGTTTTGTGTAATTTGTGTGTGTGTGTGTCTGTCTGTGTCTTTTTTCCTTATCTAATTTCATCTGCGAGAGACTGTCCCTAGAGAACAAGAGAAGAGAGAACCAATTATATCCAG